CAACCGGTGTCCGAGTCAACGTCGGCAGCGTCTGTAACGGTACCACCTCCTGCAAAATCTGAATCGCCAGACGTGGAAGGCGCAGGGGAGTCTTCGATGACGTCATCCTTCTCTAATATTCCGTCATCTTTCTCACATCCTCCCCCACCGCTCTCTTCTGGCCCATCCCAAGCAGCTGCATCAGCCTCGACGGTTCAGGCAGCGGTGAGTTGTCAGTATCTGACTGGTTAAACTAAGCTAAAGAAAATATTGCCATTAAATATTGCGTAGTGTGCGTAGACCATCTTTTTCTATTTCAGGCGTCTCCTGGTCCAGCTCTTCCGCGCCTGCCTGATTTTTCGAAACCTCCGCCGACGTTACGTCCTGTGAACGGAACGGTATGCAAAGTCATGAGTCATAGTTTACAACAGAGCTTTCCGTAGAGACAGAGTTTGATCAGTGCACGTTTTTTTTACTCATCGCACATATCCTCGAAAGATATCACGATCATATGTAAATGTCAAGGTTTTCTTACAATTCTTCTGTATTCACGTAATGTTCCATCCTGCAAGGGCTCTGCAGTGCTATGAGAAATGCTTTACATAGCAAATACCTCATTATTGACTAATTTAGTCAAACGGCTCACTCCCGAAAACTGGATCTAGTAACGCATTGCCGGACGTAGCCATAGCTCCAACTCGAAGTAGCACGTCAACAGCCGCGACATCTTCAACAGTTCCTCCCAGCACAGCTCCACCTTTGAACTTCAACGTTCCTCCGCCACACGTTCCACCGAGCGGTTCCGGTTCGTTTTCTTGCGCTCATCTGTGGTGTTCATCATATAGTTTTCTGACTGCACAGTGTAAAATTCAAGGTTCATGTTCATTTTTTGCAGCCACTGCCAGAGCGCCTTATATGCAGCCGTCAAGTTTTCTTTGTCCTCCACCAGGTTCGTTACGTCGCTTTATTTTTTGAGCTCCCATCTCGACAATAAGAATTTTGGTGTATTTAGGATCTTCCTCGGGTACAGCTGCAGCTGCGGACTTTACCAAAACGATAACAAATATGATAACCTCAGCGCTGAAGGCTCCTGGAGTAAGTCTTCATTGTAAATCGTTTTGATAATTGTTAGGGTATCATAGATAATATATCTGCGGGAACTGCTTTTATTAGTTGTGGAAGTATCGCTGAACTGGTAAATTATACTTAACATACTCTAATTCGGAACGGATTTTGAACTCCTTTGGCACAGTTT